AAAAAAAATTAAAGAAAGAAATGAAATGTAAATTAAAAGTTAGGGAAAAAAAAGACTTAGGAAAGCCAAGAAGATAAAGCAGACCAAAGTATCATGTAATAAAACTCTAAGTATATGATGGACTGTTTTCTATCCTCATTAAATTTAAAATGAGAATGAAGAAGTTGAAAACTTTCACATTATGCTAGGTATAAGATAGAATTAATTTACAAGTTGGTTTTAAGAGAAGACTGACATATAAATGTTCTTTGCAAAATATGGATAATTTTAGAACATCTCTTCTGTGGATAATGAAATGGAGTAGATTATTTCTCAAGTCTCTAGGATTTTAGTAATTTCTTTCTTGGCAGTACTGGGACTTGAACTCAGGGCTTTGTGCTTTCAAGGCAGTTGCTCTACTGCTTGAGCCACAGCTTCAGCCCCAGATTTGAGTAGTCTCTTATTGCTTCTCATCTTGGTGACCATTTCAAGATAGTGTGTAGTTAGCATTATGCTGATGTGTAATTTTAAAAATTTTAAGGGGAAAAAGTAGTTATTTCTTTTAGATAGTAGTGGTTATTTAAAAACTTTTTGTAATCACATTAAAAAATTCAAAATTTATACAAAGATATAAAGTAAGTCATAAAAATAATAACATCCACATTTTGTTGGCCAAACATAACTTTCGTAATGATTTCATATGTATATACACATATTTGTATACATCAAGATCTAGTAAAAGTAACACTGCTTCCACTTTTTAGTCTCTTTATTTGCTTCATTTTGATATACATTTATTTTTGTGTTGCTGGGACTCAAACCCAGGACGTTGCACATACTAGGCAAGTGCTCTATCACTGAGCTGTATCTCCAACCTCCTAATGTTTAATTTAAAATGGGAAGGTAGATATTTACTTAAAATTGTGTAACTTTTTGTTTGTTTCTTAATTTTTAGCCTTTTACTTCCTGTTGTATTGGTTCAGCTGGGCAAAGAACCACCACTCCTCCACCATCCCAAATCCCAGATCCACCATTTTCTTCTCCCATTACCCCTCACCGGACATCATTTGGTGGAATTCTGTCATCAGCCTCCTGGGGAGGGACAAT